GGCTAACGTTAGCCAGCGTTCGTCTGACCCCAGCCGTTCCCTTTCCCAGGCACATCGGCGCGCCCCTGCGCCGGAAACTGGGCCCGCGAGAGAAGGCGCGGCGGAAACCTTCTCCAAACCCCATCCTGGAAGCCTTTTACAGGAAGCGGAGGAAACGTCCCCAAAAGGTGAGTTTCTTCCACACGTGTTGGAAGGTGTGGCTAAGGGAGCTAAAACTCTGGCCTTTGATAAAATACTCCTGATTTTCACTGGCCTTATAAAGTAGACACTGGCTGATTTAAAAGCTGAGTAGGGCTGGTCATTTGGAGAGACCTTGGATGGGAGGCCACTAGTGGATCCAAAGGCTGTACATCAGAGAGAAAATTTGGAAAAACAACCCCGAAGAAGGGAATGTGGGATAAGGAATTGGAGCATCTAAACCCGTTCCATTTTGGTATCAAGGGGGAAAAGGTGCAGGGAGATTCTGCAAAGCAAACTGCTTCAGTTTCCCTTTTTAAAAATGGGGGCTGTGCCTTTTCCAGCAAGGGGGTCTCGGGGTCGGATCTACAGCTCCTCTGACCTGCTTCTGCATCCTGCGTTCCAGGGGGAAGTCAGCAGCTTGGCCAAGCAGTGCGACCTCCACCCAAGGAAGGTAGAGAGGTGGTTTCGATGCCGCCTGAATCAGGACCGGCCCAGCTTGACGAAGAAATTCTCTGAAGCCAGGTGAGTGGGAGCTGTTGGGGCAGGGTGGTCAACGGGCAGCCCGTGGGCACCGGTGCACCCCTTAGTGCCCAACAGGATGTCTGTCCCATCATACGCTCCAAGAAGATTGTGAATGATTCCAGAAGGAAGTTTGTGTGATGCAAAGGGAAGCATCACCCTCCAGCATCTTATGATATGTGCAGCAGTGCCTTTGGCCCCCCAAGCAATTGAGGGCCCCATTGGTTGTTAAAGAGCACATCTGATGGATTGTTTGTGACTGGCCGTGCCAAGTATAAGATTTGCCCTGTTCAACAAGAGAAACTCCCGTGACACGTGTGGTTCACAAAAGAGGTTTACTCGTGCATAATGTAATAGTTACAAGCAAAGCCAGGACTGGCTTGGTACATTTACATTGCTCCTTTATACTTTTCCCTTTCCTTCGTTTTTCGCCCCGCGATCTCATTTCCACCGCGGCTTATCAGCCCCCAAATCATCCCCCTTAATTTTCCGGAACGGCAGGTTCGGCCCGGGTCCCATTGTCCTTGATTGGTAGTCCCCTCCGGCATGGGTTGGTTCCCTTGGGTTCCTCCCGTCACGTGCAAACCCTGAGGTTTCTGGATTGCACGGCGATCTCGTTCCGCTGCCCGCGGCCCCGCTAATTGTTGGTGCGCACCGCTTATCAGTGTAAAGTTAAAGCTTCCGCTGCGGTTTTCCCGTTTGGCTAGGCACAGATGGCCATTAATCAACTGCGCTTTCAGTTCCTCTTTTCCTCAGCTAGCAGCCAGCAGCGAAGTTAGCGCAGTGTGGTGCCAAGCTTCCCTTAAGCGCTGTGCCGGCCGAACCTGACATACCGCCCCCCTGACAATAGACCCCCCCCTTTTTTATTTCGGCTTCCCGGGGTATCTACT